ATTTATTCAAATACACATACACTACTGTTCAAAAGTTCAGGGTCGGTAAGATTTTTTAATGTTTTGGGAGTCTCTTCTGCTTACCAAGGCTGCATTTATGTTCAAAAATACAGTAAAATCAGAAATATTGTGATATATTATAACATTTTAAAATAACTGTTTTCTATTTCAATAATCTTTCTGTGATCACATGTAAGATTTTTTAATGTTTTGGGAGTCTCTTCTGCTTACCAAGGCTGCATTTATATGTTCAAAAATACAGTAAAATCAGAAATATTGTGATATATTATAACATTTTAAAATAACTGTTTTCTATTTGAATAATCTTTCTGTGATCACATCTGTATTTCCAGCATCATTCCTCCAATCTTCAGTGTCACATGATCTTCAGAAATCATTCTAATATTTGCTGTTCAAGAAACATTTCTGATTATTAGCAATGTTGAAAACTGTTGTGCTGCTCCAATATTTTTGTGGGAACCGGGATACAGTTTCTTTTCAGGATTCTGTGATGAATAGAAAGTTCAAAAGAACGGCATTTATTTAAAATGGAATTCTTTTGTAACATTATTAATTGTCTTTACTGTCACTTTTGATCAATTTAATGTATCCTTGCTGAATATAAGAATTCCCCGAACTTTTGAACAATAGTGTTAATAGTTTCCCAACTTTGATGTTCTTAGATGAAGTCTCTTTACTGATTGAAAGTATAAGCACTCTTAACTTTTGACACAAACTGGTTATTTCTAAAAAAAAACAAAAAAAAAAACACTATTTGGTAGGTCTTTAAATGTTCCCTCAGAGATTGATTATCTATGTATTGGTTATCTATTTAGATTTTCAAACAACAGCTCTTTCAGGATTCTGTGATGAATAGAAAGTTCAAAAGAACGGCATTTATTTAAAATGGAATTCTTTTGTAACATTATTAATTGTCTTTACTGTCACTTTTGATCAATTTAATGTATCCTTGCTGAATATAAGAATTCCCCGAACTTTTGAACAATAGTGTTAATAGTTTCCCAACTTTGATGTTCTTAGATGAAGTCTCTTTACTGATTGAAAGTATAAGCACTCTTAACTTTTGACACAAACTGGTTATTTCTAAAAAAAAACAAAAAAAAAAAACAATATTTGGTAGGTCTTTAAATGTTCCCTCAGAGATTGATTATCTATGTATTGGTTGTCTATTTAGATTTTCAAACAACAGCTCCATTAGAATGAGCTGCTTTTGGCTACACAGTAGTCTCACATGGTTTGAGAGGTCAGCAGGAAGTGACGTCACAGAGCAAATATCTTCGGCCGCTGGAAGGAGGTTAAGGTTATTGACTATTTCTACCTGATTTCACTCATAAAAATGAGTTTTGCTTGTATTAACAGATGTGTAGGTTATTTTAGTGATGTTAAATAATGTCAATTTAGGTTACCATTTTTCAGTGCATCTCTAAAATTACCTGTGTGTATTGATATCCTTTATATATGATTTTTTTTTTTTGAAAGCAACAAATATTGCTAATATTTCATTGTCTATTTCTCACTCTTTTTCTTATTTCTTCTTCTGCTGTGTTTTTTATTGCACGCACACCAGGAAGCCTATAAAATGAGTTTAACATGGTAATCTACAAGTAACTACAAGTTTTTATATAAAAATATACAAAATATTTTAATAAACTAAACATAAACTTTATCACTGAAACAAAAAACAGAGAAAGTCCTTTTTAAGGATCATATAGCTTATAACTGCACATTTTACTCATAACAGCGTGCTTTAATGACACGATAGCTTTAACACGTGCCTTGTGTTCTGATAAACGCAGACAGAATGAAGCGCAAAACGATAAAGTACAGCATTTAATGCAGTCGAACAGAAACATGCACTGAAAGCACAACTTTGGAACAATATACACTGTCTGAAGTGCTGTCTGGAGGATCACTGCATTCAGTTTCATTTCTTTATGCTTCATCAGTGTTTGCTGATCACTGCATATCAACAACAGACTGCCTCCATGAAAATTAATATTGAAAGTATTGTGTGAAGTGAAGAATGAGTTGCTGTGGTTTTTCATTTTGGGCCTTATGAAAGCGAACAATACAGGACTCCAAAAATACACCTAAACTAAAGTATGAAAAAAAAAATCATTTTTACTAATCCCTCTCTATGGCTGAATGGCTAGTATTTTGCAGCAGTGTGCTTAGAACAGTTTTTTTAAAGTGCACTTGCAGGGAAAAACAGAACATTTAACTGAACATTTTGGTGGGGAATGACTCGGCAGAAATGATTTTATGATACAGCACACTCAAATACAGCCATAAATGCATATGCACAGAGTAGTTTTAATGCCAAGCTCCAAATCAATATTCAGGAGCAGCTTTTTTCATATTGTTCACTAGAAAAACCTAACTGGTGTTCACCTAATGCTGCTCAAACCAGCATCCAAAACAGCCAGAAATCATTAGGATATTAAGTAAAGATCATGTTCCATGAAGATATTTTGTAAATTTCCTACCGTAAATATAGCAAAACTTAATTTTTGATTAGTAATATGCATGGCTAAGAACTTCATTTGGACAACTTTAAAGATGATTTTCTCAATATTTTGATTTTTTTGCACCCTCAGATTCCAGATTTTCAAATAGTTGTATCTCGGCCAAATATTGTCCATACATCAATGGAAAGCTCATTTATTCAGATTTTGGATGATGTATAAATCTCAATTTGAAAAAAATTGACCCTTATGACTGGTTTTGTGCTCCAGGGTCACATATGGTGACTAGGAAATGCTCATTTAATCGACAAAAAGCATGCATGAGAATCATTACATTAAACTTTTTTCAATAACTCATACAGCCTTAGCTCATTCAGGCACGATTTATACGGTGAAGATGAGATTGGAATTACTGTTTTGCTCTTGTACTTTGTGCTATAGTGCTGCAGTTACCAGATTCTCTTCTCACCGGTCTAGTTCAGGCCAGTATGGCAATGCTCAAGCTGACTTGCTCAAACACAATATTGCTCAAAATGTCATTGAGGATATAAGACCAATATGATGGTTCTGGACTCTGTCTACTCCACTTTTGATAGTTGCTACTGTACCTGCAATACTTCCTCCTCTCAGCCCCATCCTGTAAGTCAATGCATAACCTGTTGAGCTTTTTTAAAATTACTTTTATTATTTAATTAATGCAATACCAATCAATACTAAACACAACTGTTTTCAACATTGATGATAATCAGAAATGTTTCTTGAGCAGCAAATCAGCATATTAGAATGATTTCTGAAGATCATGTGACGCTGAAGACTGCAGTAATGATGCTGAAAATACAGCTGCGCATCACATAAATAAATTACATTTTATAATACATTAATGTAGAAAACAGCTATTTTAAATTGTAATAATATTTCACAATCTTACTGTTTTTACTGTACTATTTATCAGACGAATGCAGCCTTGGTGAGCAGAAGAGACTTCTTTAAAAAACATTGTACAGACCCCAAACTGTGCAACAGTAGTGAATACTGTTATTATTAATATTTTAACGTTAGCATTATTTTAAATGAATAAAATAATGCAGAGTAAAAAGTATGTTGTCCCACCACAGTGACTGAAAGTTGAAAAAAAGTAGAAAATCAAGTCCAGTCTGGTAAATTTATTTAATAAAAGGGACATTACATTTGTGGCTAAATAAATAAATAAATACATTTTTTGTCCACTAAACGAGTGTACTTCCAGAATGCATTGCGATAACTAAAATGGTAGACGATCCAAGATAAATATTGATTACAAATACACTTATATGTGATACTGAGAGTTGTATTGCTAAAAAAAAGTGCATTACAGTATTGAATTGTTAGCTTAGCAATATGCCAACCATTTGAATCAATTGTGTCTCTTGTGTACTTCTCACGTGAGGCACTATTGTTAGTGTTATGCTCCAAATCAGTCACTTATGTGACCAGCTTGGTCAACCTTCAGCATATTAGTTTTAAAAAAGGCTCTTCTGGACTAACTGCATAAACCAGCCTGAACAAGCGTGGACATTCACAACACATGAGATACTTCACCGCAAGCTGGAGGCTGAATGTAGAATTTAAGGCCAGGCGTCTGACCTTTAACCTTTAGTCCCTTGCCTGTTCCATCCTTCCCGTATTGTCTATGCACATTCTCTCTCTCTCTCTCTCTGCTTTTACAGCATTGTGCAGTAATAAGGAGGCCATTGAATATTATATATGCCCACATTAGCGATGCTATTTTGTCAGAAAAAAATGACTGGGGGGTAGAGAGCTTTTCAGCTTGATGGATATCAAGTCAACATGCCGAAGTGACGCTTTTGCCCCACAGCCCCTCTGAGCTGCCATACACACAGATTTCTGTCTAGTCAGCAAACTGTGTTGACATAAGAACGCTTCCAAATCAGAATATTTATATTTACAGACGTATGGTCTCACGGTGAGAAATTACCACACATTCACACAAAAGGCAGATATAAAACACAGAACCTGCTTGCTCCTGGTCATACATGAGAGGGACAAAAAGACTACGCAGACTTTTAGGCTGTCTAGAACACACACACACACACACACAGAAACAGAAATTCTAAAAAAAATGCTGTTCAATAATCATTGGTCAAAATGTCTGTGAACCAAATGATTCAGGGAGCACCACACATTGCATGAACACACAAACTGATAATATATGCAATACTGTCATTTTATGGCTGCTCGTCCTGGCTTTCATTTTTATAGCTTTGTGTTTTTCATTTTTCTGTCTCTTTTCCACACATGCATCCACACACGTGTATGTGGCCGTGCTCCTTCTGTGTCAACAGGCACACACACACACACACATGCATCACATCATAAATCAAGTCCCAGTTAGTCAGACAGACACACACACACACACACTGTAGATTCACGCAGTGAAGATATAAACAACATGCAACAGCAGCTCTGCACCATAAAGACACAGAGCAAGACGTCTGAGAGGAAAAATTTACGTACCACACATGAGCAGAGCAGAGGAAGCTTAGCACGAGCCCTCATCAGCCACAAACAACCGACCAAAATGCCCGCAATGAGGGGAAAAAGAGGGATGGAAAGTAAGGGAAAGATACAGTGGCTGTACAAGTGGGTGAGAGAGAGAGAGAGAGAGAGAGAGAGAGAGATGGTGTAGGAACGCAAAGAAACCTGGCACACTGTTCCACCTCTGAGTCACTGAACAGGTTTGTGACAGAGAGAAAAGGAGAGAGGGTGGGAGAGATGAGAGGAGGGATATGAGAGATGATCTCACCTACGCTTTCTGGAAGATTTCCCCATCATGCATGCATTTTACACACTCTTAAAAATATACATTCTTCAATAGATCTTCGTAGCACTTTAGGTTCAGCAAAGAACCATGTAGAAGGTTCCTGAGTTGAATATACGGCTCTTTGGAGATTTAAAAAGTTTAAAATGATTAAAATGCTACATTGTAAGTTCAATATATTCAAAGATGCATATTGATTTATGGGTTCTTTAAAGACCCCATGAAATTAAATTATTGGATTTTTGTGACGTTTAGTCTGTTAGCGTGAGGTCATCAATGACCCTGTCATTTATTTGAAGTGCATTTTTATTTGTTTAACCGATAATCATGATTTCTGGTTTAAACCTGTTTTGCTCAGTTTGTCTAAAAGCTATTAACACTCCCCATATAGAACAAATTAAAAGAAACGATTTTGTTTAAATAGCATTGTGGGTATTATTATTATTGTTGTTATTTTGTTAGTACATAAATTGAGAAAATATGATGCATAATTAAAAAATGCATCACAATACATTAAGGCATTTTGAAGTTTTCTTTATATTAAGTAAACTGCATTTTACATTGACTAGCAAAATGTTTTACATTTTATCTAAGTAAAAATTCTACTCTCATATTATAGCTAATTTAGCTTTTGTTTATGATGAAATTAAGTTGTAAAATGCTACAAAAAAAATTGTGAGTTACATTAATTTTGGTTTTTGGCTAAATAAACTATCTTTAAATCTTTTTACTTTGTATGAATGTTTTTGCCTTTAGAAAAAAAAAATACTATATTAATAAAATGAAATATGAAATCAAAATTTTGCCTGCAACAAATTACAGTAATTTATTTATGTTTGTCCAAAGTATCTTTTTTTTTTCAACATACATGCTATTGTACCACCACAGTACAATATTTGAAAAGAGGAAACATTCATCTTCACATTAATGCTGTCAGACTAAAACTAATAAAAACTAAAATGACAGTTTCACACAAAGACTAGACTAAAACTAACATTAAAACAGGCCGCCAAAAACAACACTAGCCTTTTTTTTTTTTTTTTTTTTTTTTTTTTTAAATCATAATTCCTTTTATACGCCCTGCCTCATACAACTGTCAGGAAATCCATCAACACAGGAAATCAATTTGTTTGGGTATTTAAAGGGAAAAGTATGTAATTTCTGTGCCACTAGAACGAATATAAAAGTGCAAAAAGACTGACTGTTTCACACAGTCTGCCATTGACTGAAATTGCTATATAAAGATACTCTTGTTGTCATTTTTAGTAATAATTCAGTCAGTTGCATGACAGGCTGGTCATGCGATGTTAACAAGTCAGCAGCCATGAGGGGCCCATAGCTAAAATATGGATATAATGTGTAGCAGTCAAAGAAAACTAGTAACTTGAACTAACAGCTCTGTTGTAGACAATGTGACACACCAATGGCTGACCTTTTCATCTGAACATGTCCAATTATATACAGTCTTACTGGAAAGAGATGCAACTATTACATATATCATAGGAACATACACTTTCCTCTTTTATTTCATACAAAACTTTGTATGAAATAAAAGCTTGAAAGATTGATATTACATCAAAACGGCAAGACACTCTTACAAAAGGTCAAGGGAAAGTGTATATTTGTAAGACAGAAAGACTTATATGCGAATGTTTTTATTAATCAAATGAGCATGAATACATGGAATAAGCAATCCATTTCAGCATTTTTCAATTGATGTACTTTCTGAGCTATGACCTTCCTGGTCAATTGATGGAAACAAAATTTACCTTTTTCTGCACGTGTATGTGTATATTTGTGTGGGTCTAATGATGTTAAGTGGCTTGTCAGTGGGGGCGATAATTAATGACCACCTCTGTAAACAAAGTCAAGCACATAAACAGTATTAAACAGTCACAGAAGGAACAGTAAATAATTCAAAACCAACTAACAATAAACAAACACTTTGCCAAGCCTATAGCCCTGCGGCCTATGATTCTGCCTCCAGCCAAACTGAAGAGAAAACAGACCCCATACAGCACTCCTCAGCACTGAACATTACTGAACAAAGAACAGCATTAGAAAAGAAGAAGAAAATAATACAGACAGGAGACAGGGCAGGATAAAGACATGATGGGACATGACAGAATAAGATAAAATACTACACAATATGATATGATATGATATGATATGATATGATATGATAAGATAACATAAGACAGGACAGAACAGTACAGGATAAGATAGGACAGGATAGGACAGGACAATACAGGACAGGACAGGACAAGACAAGACAAGACAAGACAAGACAAGACAGGTCAGGTCAGGTCAGGTCAGGATAGGATAGGACAGGACAGGACAGGATAGGATAGGATAGGACAAGTCAGGTCAGGATAGGATAGGAGAGCACAGGACAGCACAGGACAGGACAGGATAGGACAGGATAGGACAAGTCAGGATAGGATAGGATAGGGCAGGGCAGGACAGGACAGGACAGGACAGGACAGGATAGGACAAGTCAGGTCAGGATAGGATAGGATAGGATAGGATAGGATAGGATAGGATAGGATAGGATAGGATAGGATAGGATAGGATAGGATAGGATAGGATAGGATAGGATAGGATAGGATAGGATAGGATAGGATAGGATAGGATAGGATAGGATAGGATAGGATAGGATAGGATAGGATAGGATAGGATAGGATAGGATAGGATAGGATAGGATAGGATAGGATAGGATAGGATAGGATAGGATAGGATAGGATAGGATAGGATAGGATAGGATAGGATAGGATAGGATAGGATAGGATAGGATAGGATAGGATAGGATAGGATAGGATAGGATAGGATAGGATAGGATAGGATAGGATAGGATAGGATAGGATAGGATAGGATAGGATAGGATAGGATAGGATAGGATAGGATAGGATAGGATAGGATAGGATAGGATAGGATAGGATAGGATAGGATAGGATAGGATAGGATAGGATAGGATAGGATAGGATAGGATAGGATAGGATAGGATAGGATAGGATAGGATAGGATAGGATAGGATAGGATAGGATAGGATAGGATAGGATAGGATAGGATAGGATAGGATAGGATAGGATAGGATAGGATAGGATAGGATAGGATAGGATAGGATAGGATAGGATAGGATAGGATAGGATAGGATAGGATAGGATAGGATAGGATAGGATAGGATAGGATAGGATAGGATAGGATAGGATAGGATAGGATAGGGCAGGGCAGGGTAGGGTAGGGTAGGGCAGGGCAGGGCAGGGCAGGGCAGGACAGAATTAGACGGGACAAGATAAGAAGCAGTAGAAGATACAATGCATACCACACTGAACAGGCTAAGACATTGTTGGATGAGACAGGATGGTATTGGATGGGAAGGGACAGGACAGAAAAAAATACATACCATATTGCACACAACATGACATGGTTGGATAGAACAGGACAGGAGACAGGACAGTAAGCAGAACAGGACAGGACAGGACAGGATAGGATGAGACAGCATAAAAGATAAGATGCAATAAAATACCATACTGAACACTGCATTGCAAGGTTGATATAAGGACCGGACAGAATAGGATAACCTTGTTTTAAATGTTTCTCCTAAAACATCTTAGAAGAAACACGAATATCAACAAATAAGACAGTTGTTGATATAAAGTAAAGTAAGAGTGTAGAGCTATAAAATGAAAGTAGACAGCATAGCCCAGAAGTTGATCTTGGGGGAATTTGATGAGAAATTGTTGAGGTCATATTGAGATCTCTGACTCTGACTGATATCTTGACAAATCTGTGCACAGTTTGCGGCAATGTTGAGATCTTCTGAAACTAATAAAAACATTATTATATAATTAATAAAAAAATATGAGAAAGCATTAGACTTAAACATAAGTGTCCATTTGTCCTCCATTTAATCTCACTGCTGTCCTGCAGTTGAGAAACAAATCTAATTTCTCATTCTCATCTCTCATTTGCAATTTTTCTATTGTAAAAATTAATATGTGCTGATGCTATTTCCTGTTACTCATGCCAGGCATTTGATTCCTTATGAATATGTCATACATACGAGTATCTACGTATGAGTACGCCCCCTTACAGACATTTTTGGTTATCCACTATTAGGTCATCTTCTGCCTCTCATTGTGTTTAATATGATGAATTCTCCTCTCTCTCCCCATTCTATTAATCTCTATACATCTCCATCCTTCTCCATGCTTGCTCATACTTACATAATTATTATCATATGAATACACTCATACATCTTTTTTTTTTCATTTCTATCTTTCTCCTTCCTTCTCCACCTCTCTGTTCTCTAGTCTACATGATACCCTGCCATGTTGTCATGGCAACAATCAGGACCCAAGGGCTCCGTTGCTAGGCAACTCACATCACCCATAAGAGGAACATGAAGATAAAAAGTCAGAAACAAACAAACCACGTAAATCAAAGGTTAATTCTCTCATTATTTGTGTGTGTGTGTGTGTGTGTGTGTGTGTGTGTGTGTGCGCTCTAGTACCAATACTTCAATAACTCTCATTTTTTAAAACACGACGCGTGTCATATTCAGAACATCAGTCACACACACTGTTCCCTTAAACACAACACACAATCCTTCATCTTACAATGAGACGGAACTGCAGCAGATATTGTGCCTGTATATAATCTTAAAGACTGTGCATTTGCTGGATATCACTTCCTTTTGCTATCAAAATCAAACATCTGGTACTCCCATAAGCTGTTTTGTGGGAAATAAAATCTCTTACCGAAGAATGACAATGATGAGCCCTTAAGAGGCACAATGTGTTATCTGAATAGCAGGTGGTGCAAGTGGTTGTGGAGCAGCTT